ACGGTCTGCAGCTGTACAGCTGGGTCTCTTCGAGCACAAGTTGTTTACACACTCCAGCTGAAGCTGTAGACCTGATTGCACTCTGGGATCTCAGATGACCCAGACGGTAAACTGGGGGACAGCCAGAGCCAGAGGCCAATTTTTGGTGAACAGTGCCTGGGGCAGAGCTGAGGACATCGTGGGGCCGAGCTCAAGTATCACTTCTTGGCTATCCCCCCCCCCCCTTTCCTTAGGATTATGGGCACATTTATAACACATTGATGTTGTAAGTTGCATCGTTTGCTTTAAGGTTTCTTGAGGTAACACAACATAGCCCGAGAAGATGTAAGTAACAGAACTTGGAAAACTATTTATTTGTTCTTTGAGAATTTCATACATGATATATGATGTATTTAGGTCACATTCATCCCCCATTGCCCCCACTAATGTCCGTCCCACTCCCACGGGGGTCCGCTTCTTACTCCCGTGTTGGTTTGTTGGGCTGTCTTTTTGTTTCTTTGTTTGAACTAACCTACAATTTAATTGCGGCTGCCTGTCCGTATGGGCGTGGGATAGGGATATTTACGGGAGCACACTGGTAATGAAAAATGACTCACATTTCCCCAGAAGCCGTTAACTGCCACTGTCTTCCCAGTTAGGGGTGGGGCCTCATGACCCTACTCCCATCCATATACTGGAAGATTGACAGGCTCAATTGTTTATGGGTCACCACAGCTGCTATGAGCTCATTAGTGCAACAGGAGAGAGCATTTCACAATGCTCCTTGTCCTTCATCCTTTCCGGGCCTCTCCATCACATTCCCCAAGGCTTGGGGAAGGAGGCCATATAGATATTCTGTTCGTAAATGAGTATTCAATAGTCACTCATTCTCAACACTCTGGCCTGGAACTGGAGTTACAGATGGTTATGAGCCACCATGGAGGTGCTGGGAACTGAACCCAGGTTCTCTGTAAGAGCAATGCATGGTCTTAACCACTGAGCCTCCATTTACACGGTTATAAATGTGTTAGAGTTTCAAATAAGTTTTTATTAGCTTTCAATGTTTTCAAAATTGGCACACAAAGTTATGGACTTCATTGTCATATATATGACTATATATATATGTGTATATATATATATGTATATATATATATATATATATGCTTGCCACAGCCCCTCCCCCATCCTATCTTACATCCCCTGCCTTGCTTAGTCCTCCCTTCTGTTTATGTCATAAATATTGTCACTCTCTGTTGTCTTCCTCCCTTTTTACCTATTCGTTTCCTTTCATTGTCCCCTTTCTACTTTCATGTCACATGCACACATGTACACACATACACAGGGGTTGGAAATCTAGACATCACATGTACATGAAAATGTGGTATTTGTCTTTTTTGAGTCTGGCTTATATCACTTAATAAGATGACCTCCAGTTCTATACATTTTCCTGCCAATGTCAGGATTGTGTTCTTCTCTATAGCTGGCCCAAGCTCCACTGTGTTTATGTACTCTGTGCACCAGTTCATCTGCTGATGGGCAAGTGAGCCAGTTCCACATCTTGGCTATTATGAACATGTAGTATCTCTGTGGTATGCTGATTCAGAATCCTTTGAGTAAATACCCAAGAGTATCCTTGCCAGATCATATGGTAGCTCTAGTTTTTATTTTTGAGAAATAATCATAGTGATTTCCATAGGGACTCTCCCAGTCCTATGAATAATAACCGTTAATAATAATAACCAGCAATGAATAATAACTGTTGCTCTTTCTCCATATCACCACCAGCAATTAAGTTTTGTTTCCAGGATGTTAGCCATTTTGACTAGAATGAGATAGAATTGGGTGTAGTTTTAATTCACACTCCCCTGTTGGCTAAATGTGTTGACTACTTTTCCAAGTCCTTGATGGCTTTTTCATTGCTTTGAGAATGGTCAGTTCAGCAGTCCATTTTCTAATCACATTACTTTGGTTTGGGGGTGCTTAATTTTTGCAGGTTGTATTGTTTACTGGGTTTGTTGCTATGACCAAGTCCCCCGCAAAATCAGGGGAGAATTGTTTGACTTATGATTCAGGGGATACAGTCCATCATGATGGAGAAGGCATGGCAGGAGGAACGTGAGGCACATTGTAGTCAGGAAACAGTGGACAGGCAGTGTGTCTGGGCTACGAAACCTCAAGGCCTACTGTCTGTGACCTACTTTCTCCAGTGAGGCTCAACTTCCTGAAAGTTCCACAGCTCTCCAAATCAGCACCACCAGCCAGGCACTGAGTGCTCACACGGGAGCTGGTAGGAGGCACTGTGCATTCGAACCTCAACAAAAGCCTTTGGAAAGTGTAGCTATTAATATCTGGTCTGATGTGTAGTTGGCAAAGAGAGTCTCCTGTTCGGGGGGGGGGTGTTACCCCCATTTTGCTGGTTGTTTCATCGGCTGTTCAGAACCCCTTAATCTCATATAATTCTACTTGTCAATTCTTAGGATTTTCTGTGCTATTGGAATCTCTTTACACAAAGTCCTTGCCTATGCCTGTCTTAAGATATTTTGTCTGAATTTCTCTCTAACAGTTTCAGAGTTCCAAGTCTTACACTGAGGTCTTTGACCCATTTTGAAAAGCGTGTGTGTGTGTGTGTGTGTGTGTGTGTGTGTGTGTGTGTGTGTGTGTGTTCATGCGCGCGCACATGAACAAAGGGAAAGATATGGATCCAGTTTCAAACTTGTGCCAGCCCCGTGTGTTGAACAAGCTGTCTTTTCTCTAATCTGTGTGCCTAATCAATACCTTTGTAAAAAGGTAGGTGGCCGTAGCTGTGTGGGTTTATTTCCGGGTCCTCTGTTCTATCCCGCGGGTCCACATGTCCGTTCTGTGTTAGCTCCCAGCTGTTCCCATTACAAAGGCTTTGTAGTGTAACCTGGGGTCAGGCACCCCTGTGTCTCCAGTGTTTCTTTCTGTACCAGACTGTGTTTGCTCTTCCAGGTCTTTTGTGCTTCCTTAAAAGAACCGTTGAGTTCTTTTTTCTGTTTTTGTGAAGAATGACATGGGAATTTTGGTGGAGGCTCATGGTAGATTGCTTTTCTTGATGTAGCCATTTCATGGTATTAATTCTGTCAATCCATGAGCATAGGAGGCCTTTTTATTTGCTACTGTCTTCTTCAGTTTCTTTTCACAGGTCTTTAAGTTTTCATTACGGAAGTTTGTTAACTCCTTCGGTAGGTTTATTCCTGGGAATTTTTTGAATGTGTTGTAAACAGAATTTTATTCCTGTTTTTTTTTTTTAAAGAAAACTTGTTATTGGTAAATAAAAAGCTATTCTTTCATTATGTTGATAGTGTGTTGTTCTACTTTGCTGAAAGTGTTTCTCACATTGCAGCATTTTTTCTGCATTTTTAGGGGTCCTTGAAGCAAAAGATCATGCCATGTGTCCTTCCATTAGTGAACAGGTAAACAAAGGATACATCTATGTGATGGAATGTTATTCAACCACAATAAAGAATGCAGTACTGATTATGCTATAGTGTAGACAAACATTAAGAACACAATGCTGAGTGAAAGAAGCCAGCCATCAAATAACGAGTAATACATTGTATTCCATTAGTACAAGACACAATTGTGTGTAAATTCTAATTCTATAGAGATTTTGCCAAAAATGTACATGTTATTGTAAATTCAAACGTGCCTGTAGGTCCAAACACTCTTCAAAGAGGAAGGGACTTTTGGCAAAAGAAAAAGGGAAAAGAAGAGAAAGAGATCTATAGCGGAGAGAGTGGAAAGGGACTTCTGTACAGCTGTAGACCAGGATCTATAGAGGAACACAAGAACTCCCAGAACTTTGGATTCTTCCTCAGACTTTGTAGCTGCTGTTGCATCTTTACACAGCCTACCACCCAGATCCTTTTGGCAGGAAACCTTTGAAACTATAAGACAATCATAGTACAGTGGGACCCAACAGCAGATGCTGCAGGAACATTGCTCAGAAATGAGTCCTAATTCTATCATTCTCTAGGTCAGAAAATACCTTCTGTGCCTCAATTTCACCACCAATAAATTAACTGTTTGGTTCAGTGGCCATTAACCCTGAAAGCCTACCAAGCACTTGAAATGTTGGTGTGAGAAGCAGGGGACAACTTGCCACAGGCCATCCTGCAATCAAGGACAGGGGTGGCTGTCACAATTCATGGAAGAGAAGCCAGGCTGAATCCTCAAGGTGTGTAGGCAGGTGCTGGCTGAGCAGAGACTGGAAACCCACCTTAAGAGAATCCCACAGCTTCCAAACCTCTTCACATCATGAAGGCTTTCTCACACTCATAGCAGTTAGCGGCCAGAACTAGAGGACTCCAAGTGGGTCCAAAGTTAAGTTTCTGACTCAAATGTCTCATTTCCCATCCTGGCATAGAGTCCAGCTCTCTTAAATTCCTATGTTGTTTCTCTAAAAAGGAGTTTTTGCTTGCCTTAGGTTTGTAGATTCTTGTCTCTTTGGAGCATGTTGGAGCATGTTAAGTACTACCCATTCCCTAGTGATGGGGTTCAGCCAGTGAGGCAAATGGGACACGACCACACATTCATGCTTAGGGCCCTGCAGTCATGCCTTCGAGAGAAATGGTTACTCTACATTTCACAGAGGCAGCTGTGGCTTATCCAAAAGGCTTAGAACGGAAGTTCCTCATTCTGTGACTCCTCAGCTTGTGCTCCAGATCAACCTGCCCATCCTGTGGCATCAGGACAGTGCCCTCTACCAATCACCACCTTCCACCTTCCCACCCACCTTCAGTTTTTGACTTCTTTTCACACTTCAGTAACATGAAAGCAAGTGTGCCCATCTCTGTTGCTTTGTCGAAAACTTGAGTTGTACGTTGTTTGCAAGCTGCCAGGTCCTGACACATTGGTGCTATCCCATTCCGAGAGCTCACTACTCATCGAGAGACTCTGCATGCTTGGCTTGCTGCAGAGGCTTAGCTCCGTGCATCCCTGGCCTCATAAACAGCTCGATCAGAGAGCCATGAACTCAAAGCAATACAGGACAAAAGGAGCTCAGTAAATTCCATATGTTTATTTCATCATCACAATTCATTTTCTACTTCAGCTAAACTTCCATCTTATGCGTCTGTTTAGTGGACAGATGAGCACCTGACTTTTTTTTGGGGGGGCAGGTATTACAATAAACACATCTTCCTTATTAATAAATATGTTTAAATGTTTGGTGTGGCCTTTTAATTCATACAAATAAAGAGAGTCTTTATTCAATGTTATAGTTTTGAAATACAAATCCATCATTTTCTTGAAGTTCTTCCCATCTCTACTGGATGTTACACAAACTGTAGTCAAACAGATGATGCTTCTACCACCAGACAATTGAGGTATAAAGTGGTAACTCCAGGGTGTCCCCTACAAAGAGCTGTGTACCACATGACGGTATCAAAAAGACATATCCTGAGAAAAATCTAATGGATGCTCCAAGACTCAATTATTTTTTATTCCTGTATGCTAATTCCAAAGTGAATGACTTCCAAGTGGTCCCACTGCAGGGCCAGCAGAGACATGTCACAGGTCACCTTAATTCTGTCTCTTTGATGCTTATAAAACCACCAGAAAACATAAATATTAATTCTTGAGATCGACGAACAAAACTTTTTAAGTCTTGACTCCACCCTCTCTCTGAACCTTCTGAAAAAAAATATACCAGGGGAAAAAAAGTAAATCAAGAGAAGAAGAGAAAGGGGGAAAAATGGCTCGCTTGGGTCCCTCCACTCCCGCCCCACTTAGGCAGTGTGTTTCCTGGAAAGCAAGCATAAGGTCCCGCCAAGGGCTCACTTCGGCTGAAAGTTGTTGAGTCAGTTCACATTTGCCTAAGCTTTTATGGTTTGGGGGTTTTCGTTTTCTTGTCTTGGTTTTATACAGACCCTAGTTTCTTCTTAGAACAAAACCAGATTCACTGTACCTGCTAGGACTTTTGCAAAGAGCAAAACGTAGGCATGTTGTTGTAAGTGGCATGGTGACTCAGAGCGACACTGTGGGGCATCTCCTGAATAGGCTCAAATTTAATTAACGGAAGTTCTCCTCTGTTCTTCACCAACATCTTAAATACAGGGAAATATGTAAACACCGTGCTCTCAGAGAGCAAAGATTAGGCACATCGAAGCATGTCGCTCTCAAAGAAATGGATCCAAGGGAAACACCACTCATCTGTTTCAAAACCATCCACCCGAGTTATCGCTCTCTGGCTGAGGGGGGAATACCACGTTGCACATCTCAGAGTTCTCCTGATGGAGTGGGAGTTCACATCCAGCCACTAGGCTTTCTTTTCTTCTTCGAGAGACAAAGCCTCTGCCCGTGGACAGCCTTTCGTACTTTGTCTCAAATTGCCTACGAAACGCGAAGAGGAAGGGCAGAGTTACACACAGTCAAGCCACCCACGCTGGCCCCAGGGTGCTTCTGCCCTGCTCTGGAAACCCATCTGCAGAGAAGTTGTAGGTACTATCCTGTAGCATGTTCCCACTGTTTTCTCCTCTTTTCTTCTGATACTGATAAGCACATGTGACTGGCTGGAAATTGAGAGTCCTACCACGCTTGGTTCTGGAATGAAGGGCTGAATTCCTGGGATGCTGCTAAGGCTCACAGGCCTTGCTGCCTCTCACCACCCATTCCAGAAGCCCCACCCCAAGTGCACTCCGTTTCAAAGCATTGAGTCCAACAGGATTTAAGAGCAGAATGTTGAGAGGGAACTATTCCCAGCCTATGCCCCAAGTAAAATGGCAAACCAGTCTCGCTAGCCACATGGCTGGGCTTATGGTCACTACATGTATTTATGGAGACTTATTCCACACATAAACATAAGTTAATGTTAGTGAATATTTAATGTTCTGAATGTTTGTTCACTATTTTTGTTCTAGGAAAATGTGACTTACTGGTATTTGTACTTGAATTATTTACTGACGTATTTTTTAATATGGATCATGAAATACCAGCAAAATAAGGTACTCAACTTTTCCATGGTTATCACAAAAGATGATATAAAGTGTGACTTGCTATTTCAAAGCTACTAGTTATACCTTGCAGTTAGACATAGTTCAAGGAAACCTTCATAAACTACTATGGACAGTTCTGATACAAAGAATGGCAACTGGACCCGAGGACATGGCGTTAATGGAAGGCAGGCCCAGAATGGAAAGGAGTTGTGAAGATCCACGGGCCATTGTATAATAGGGCTTTATGGACCTAAGCTTTGTAACCACCCCTCCCTTTAAAAACAATTCAGAATGCCAAATTCTCAAGACTGGGTCCAAACTTAAACAAGGTCAGGTGGCCATTGCACAAATAACTGTGGACTCCCTTGGGTCATAGGAAATGGATGGCCAGATGTACCTTGACCAGGAAGCAATTGTGAAGACACCAGACAGAAATTGCGCATGAGGTATTTTTTCTGAAACTATATGATAACTCCTACAGTAAACTGAACCCCTTTGTTTCCTTAAAAAGTTATTTCTAGATTAAATAGGATTTAGTTCCATATCAAATGAATGGATCTTTGGCATGTTAGAAAATGAGTTTTTTGTTTGTTTCTTTTATCTATCGTTTTCTCACTTCTTTAAAGATAACGTGTTGCTTACTCGGTTTCTTCTGTATTCTTTTGATTCTCAAACTGCATGTGAAGGATTGAGCGCAAGCTCTTGGGGAACCGGGAATGGTTCCGGGACTCCTGTGACAGTGCGTTTACCTGAATGGAGCTTCGGCCCTGTCCATCTGCATGCAGACTAAGAACGGGTACTGTGAGAACTGCACCGTTGAGATGAACTCCAGACCCGCCTCTGTCTCCGCTCTGCTCTCCAGGCCGGCTTTCACAAAGGAAGAGTCCACGGTGACATCACTGTTTATTACCACAGCCACCCTGGAAGTTTTGAAAAACATCGCTTATTGTCACATTTAACTGAGCAGGACTAACAGAACTTCACCGGTGAAGTCTCAACTCATGGCCCCAGCAGACTGGGAGGAAACACTTAAAAATGGAGAGTGACCTCAATACACATAAAGCCTTGTTGGAACCAGGACATGGTGGTGGCAGAGATTGGCCACAGAAGGGTTGCTCTTTCTCTGGGCACCCTTGCTTTGAATTCTAGACATGGGAGCCAAGTGCATACCACATATAATGGTGTTTGGGATGTGTGTACCAAGGACCGAGATGAAATACGCCTGGAACCTGGTCCTTTCTCAATCCCAGAAACACCCACAGTTTCTTAAAGAGAAGTATGAACACATCAAGAGGACACCTGACATTTATGATAATTTTCTTGTTAACTCTCTCTGTCAGCTTCATGTTAGCTATTTCAGCTCCATTTCATTACTTCTCAAAGGTTGGCTAGAGGCATGCATATAGTTGCCAAGACACCTGAGAGAGCTGCTTGACAAAGAGCCCTTCCTGTAGTGGGATATGTGCAGGCAAACAGGACGGGATTAGCAGAGGTCACTCACAACAGACAGACAGACAGGTTGGATGACTAGGGCATATGGCTTGGATGACAACGAAGACGTTAAAAAAAAATCTAGTACAAGTTTGGATCTCTTTAAGCAGTTGCAAACTTCAACAAAATGATGGCAAATTATGCTCACAATGAAATCAAATTTACATGCCTATACATTTTAAAAAAGAGAGATACTAGTTTTTGTCTGGCAAATTATAAAATAATTATATTTTTTATATAATATAAATACTGCTGTTGTTCTCAGTAGAAAACAAGCCAATGGGTTGTTTTAATCTTCAGCTGTTTACCAGAATCTTCTACTGTCTTACACACAAACAAATGTTTAAGGGATATTATTTAAGTGAATGAATAGGCAAATGAAAGATAGAAGACAGAACAGTTAATAAGGACACTGGGAGGGGTGGAGAGGAAATGGCCTCAACACACAATGTATACTTATGTGAAAGTGCGCTTATATACAATGAATACACAATGTATACTTATGTGAAAGTGCGCTTATATACAATGAATACACAATGTATACTTACGTGAAAGTGTGCTTATGTACAATGAATACACAATGTATACTTATGTGAAAGTGTGCTTACATACAATGAATACACAACGAAAACGTTAGGTCTCAAACCTGGGACAAGTGGCCATCTGAGGTGCCTATTTAACATATCAAAGCAGACCTGGTCACCAGGTTCTCCCAGCAGCCCCCAGCCCCTACCTGTTACAGGTTATGGCTGGCACACCCCACCCCATACCCTAAGCTTCTCCAGCCCAAGGGCTGGGCTGCCCTCCCCTCAGCTGCCCTTCCATATGTCATTTTGGGTTACCCAGCCCCTTTTGTCTACCCTTTATTCTTCTGGGTCTCCCCTCACCCAGCTCTCCTCACACGGCCAGGCTCGGTCATTTCATTCTTCACCTCCTCAATGTCCCTTCCTCTGGCTGTGCTCTCTCTTTTATCTACAGTGAACTTTCTCCTCCACCATACCTAGCAACAGTCATGTCGTCCCTTTTATTTCTAATTTTCATTCAGAAAAAAAATTAAAATTTGATTAAAAATGAGATTATCATTTTATTTAACCCAGCGGAATTAGCAAATGAAGAGAGATCCTAATACCAACAACAGAGATAAGCTTTAAATTTACGTTTTATACTGTAATATTAACATGAGACCTTGGGGATGAACAAGAAAGGAAGGCTATGGTTCAACAGTAATAGGTTTGTTCATCAGGTTGCCAAGGGATCAACTGTGCTGGCCAGCCTGAAGTCAGCTTCACACAGGTCAGAGTCATTTGGGAAGAGGGACTCACAAGGCAGACATGTGTGTAAGGCATTTTCTTCATTAGTAGCTGATGTGGGAGGGTCCAGCCCCTTGACTGTGTTGCCACTCCTAGGCTGGTGGCCCTGGGTGCTATGTAAAAAATGCAGGCTGAGCAAGTCAGTATGCAGCACTCTGTCTGCTCTCTGTTCCTGCTGTGTATTCCTTCCTCACCTTCCCCTGGGGATGGACTGCAAGCCGTCCCTCACTACGACTCTCCTCCCAAACTTGTTTCTGGTCATGGTGTTTTATTACAGCAATAGAAACCCCGAGGAAGAGAACAGTCAACTACTAAAGTGAAATATGAAGAGAATGAGCCTTCATGTGGATCTGCATTGTCTGTGGGTGTCTTTAGAAGCAGAAGACCCTTGATGCTCGATCAACCCGTTTCTAAGATGCTATGGATGTAATGAACTCCCACAATCATTTCCCACCCCACGCTTACAATCACAAACGAACAGCACAGATATGTTAAAGTCGGAAGTGCAGACAGCACCCGAGACATAGCCCTGCATTTCTTTGCATTGTGCTTACCGATTTTTCACTCGGGTTTTAGACTCACGATACCACAGACTGAATTCCATGGAACCTGAAATGTCAATAGCCAGACCACCCTGGATTTCCATATTTGCCTTTAGTCCAGATTGCAGCTGAATATCCTGGAAGCAAACAATACGGTAATGAGCACAAATGAGTTAATGCCTCTAACCGAGACACACTTGACTCCCTGCTGTACAGTGAACACTCGACCTGTGCTGCTGGAGGACTCTCATATCGACGCTCACTTGTTTGTTCCAGCACAAGCTCAGGGCCTCTCACCTACTAGGCTCCTGCTCTGCCACCAAACTACACCCCTAGTGAAGAAGGCTTGGAAATATGTTACCCTAATCTTGGGCACCAAAAGAAGGCATTGCTAAGTCAGTCAGTTAAAAGAGTGGAGGATTGGAGTATCAACCGAGAAGGCTGTTTCCTTCGATCATTGCCTCTCTTTGGAGGGGCAATTCATTTTCAATGTGTAGCTTTCGGTAGAGAGTCAGCACTATCTAGGAAAAGTTTCAAAATGCAGTTCTCAGGTACCCCACACCTACTGACTTAGAAACTCTTGGGGATGGGCGCCCAACGACCTCCTTCTAAAATACATTCATGTGATTCTGACACAACTAAATTTGAGAACCCCTGGACCAGGAAGACGAAGGCATTTCCATCAGCAGCCCAGCCATGGCATTTTTTGGAAACATGAGATTGGACAAAATGATCTCTTCAAGTCCTTAAGCACTTCTCTGGTTTTATGTTGGGGCAAACACAGGCAACTACATCTTCTGGCAAACAAAAAGGCAGGAAGAAAATTCCCAGTGCAGTTCCGGGAACTGCCTAGGTAAGCTAGAAAAGGACAGGAAGAGGAGGCAGCTGAACTAAGCTTCTGCACCCTGCTGATTGACATTGGCAATGACTCCAAACAGTGGTCAAGCCTAGCACAAACTCAACTTTATTTCCCAAAGGCATGGTGGCCGTTTAAAAAGATGGCCTCCTGGCTGGTTGTCTTATCATCTGAAGCTCGCTGCTTTGTATTGTTTGCCTGTGTTCAGACTTTAACTCCCCTACTTTCCATGTGCATTAAGTGGGGTGATGCTGGCTGAAGACGTTCCGTGCTAGACTGAAATCAGGCGGTCTGAGGCAGTGCTGAATGTGATAATGATTCTGGTAATGAAGCTCTGTACCCTTCACTCTGGTATTCCTCCAAAGACGTTAAGAGTTCCTGGCAGCTAAGAGCATGACTAACTTCTTTGTGTAGCTGCCATAAGCAGACCAAAAAAGCCATGCATTTGCCAGGCACAAATGCCATGATTGCACTTTTTAGAAAGGACTGTGCTGTTCTCTCTGAATTTCAAACAAATAGAAATATCAAATATGGCAGGAAACCTCAGAGAACTGGTTCACACCCAAGAAGAATAAGAAAGTGTGACCCTGATATGAAAATGCTTTCATTCTGAAGGACACTCCTGAGTGCTCTGTGCCAGGGTTGGGACACATAAGGGGACATCCCTAAGCATGCTTCACGCCATGTGTACACTAGGACAAAAATGTGGCTCGCATAGGATGCAGGGACTAAGTCATGCTTCATGACTAATGTAAAGAATCACATCCTGTCCTGTAAAACCCACAATAATCATGCCCAAAGGTGTACCTAAGCCTCTGAAAACCAGGGATGGCACCAGGTCTGCTGCACACCGTGCCCATGCCTGATGCCAAGTAACTCCTATAGTGTCCTGCCTCAGAAATACTCCTTCCTGTGCATAATCTTATTTTCTTGATTGGAAATCTATAGACCTGTTGATCCATTTAGTCCAGTGGACCCTGAGATGTAGATCCCCACCTTCCCATAGCTGTACATTACCTGGATGTCAAAGCATCTAGGCCACAGAAAAGAGCACTTCACAGTTATCAGCTAAAATGCCCGTGTGAGAAGAGCATTTTCACTGCAAGTGATTTGGAGAAACACTTTGGCTTTCTCGATGATTCTCTTCCTCCAAAGGAAGAGCTCTTATATGTATGTAGTCACAAGGAATTCTACGGGATCTACTTATGAGGACAAACCGACATGCCCATCTCCCCCACCCCACCCCTCCCTTGACTCTGGAAATGGGACTAAACCATAGAGTGGGGAGGTTCTAGTTCTTTAAGAAACTTAAATGAGTGGAACTAACAGATTTTGAGCACCTGTGTGCCCAAAGCCTTACACGTGAGAAGTCAAACATCATGCTGCTCTCCACTGAAGCCATTGTATTTCTTCACTGACAGGAAAACGATGGCTCAGAGGCTTCCCGTGGAGCACTACCCAGACCGTGTCTAAGGATGGGACTGTTCAGCTGCTGTACGCAGCTGTCACATAGTTACAACTCTGTTTCACAGTCTGTAAGAAAGTCTGTTCGGAGGAATATTGCAAAGAAGATAGAGAATAAACTTAAGTCCTCAGCTGGCCCAGAGTATACATTTATTTAATGTTTTGTCTAGGGACTAGAGGAAGAAGATGCTGGAACTTTGGGTTTGTGGTTGATGTGATCCCTTTGCTTTTTAACTATGAACTACAAGGTGTTTCTTATAGAATAGGCCCTGACATTTTGACAGCTCATCTCACTGCTTCTACTTAAGAAAATACGTTATTTCTTGGCTTAAGAAGCTCCTCTTTCTTGGATACCATCGCTGAAATGTAATCCAGTGAGAGACAGAAACAGAGAGACAGAGACAGAGAGAGAGAGAGAGACAGACAGACAGACAGACATATACACAGAGAGACAGAGACACACACAGAGACAGAGATACAGACACACACAGAGAGACAGACATATACACACATAGACAGAGACAGACACACAGAGAGACAGAGACAGACAGACAGACACACAGAGACAGAGACACAGAGAGAGACAGAGGAAGACACCCACACAGAAACAGAGAGAGAGAGAGAGAGAGAGAGAGAGAGAGAGAGAGAGAGAGAGAGAGAGCACTGAGTAATTCTATCTGCCCTGGTGGCTGTGACAGGCTGCCAGCTGCCAGTGTTTCTTTCAATGTCAGCACTTGACCTGGAGTGGTATGTGCTTCTGAGGCTAGGATGGCATTGCTGGAGTGTCCTGCAGAGCCTGGGGCCTCGGGAGCTTATTGGTGAAATAACCTCAGGTCTGCCGAATTCTTAGCCTGACACACATGGACACTGGTTATGTTTAACAGTGAAGGGGCACTCTCTCATAGACCACACCTTGCCTAGGGTGCAGTATCTTAATGAATAGGAAAACCATACAAGAAAATTTAAGTCAGGGATTAACAAACTATAGCTTGCAGGAAATCGTTCTGCTTCACTGGCTGTTTTTGTAAATAGCATTTTATTGGAACACAGCTCTACTCAGGTAATAGACTGCTGATGGCTGTTTTCACTCTGTAATCATAAGGCTGCATAGGTGCATCAAGACCATTTGGCTCTTGAAGCCTGAAATAGTCACTCTCTGCCCTTTACAGGTCTGCCAGCACTGAGTGTTTATTTATGTATGACTGGAGGACTGGAGAGTATGAGTGGCACCTCTAGTTCTCCTCTTCATTCACATGAAAAGAAACCTGCTTTTCTCCAAAGTGCACCAACACCCAGGAAAGCTGGAAAACCCAGCTTCCCTTGCAGCTAGAGATAGCCTCATGACCACTGTGGTCAGGAATATTCTATCCAGGCTTCTGGGTGGCCATCCAGCTCTTCATCCTTCTCCTCCTTCTTTAGGGGTCTGGGTGTTGTGCCAGAAGGGGAGTGGCTATCACAGAGTCACAAGTTGACCAGTGTGAGATTAAAAGTCAGAGTAAGGCTGGGCATGATAGTGCGAGCCCTTAATCCCAGCACTTGGGAGGCAGAGGCAGGCGGATCTCTGTGAGTTTGGGGCCAGCCTGCTCTACATAGTGAGTTAGGCAGGCTGAACTGAAGTGCAAAGATTCTGGTCCCTGAGGATTACTGTGTTAACCCTGGACTGCCTATTTCCAAATGCTTATTACATCATAAAAATCAAACTATCAATTTTTTTGTTTTTGAGATCTATATCTACTTTGAATTTATATAAGGATCTATAAAGATAGAGACATAATGTTTAATTCTAGCCACTAATGTTTTGGGGTACGTTTTAACAAAATGTGATACTTAAGGTTTCCTAGCTCTTAAAACCCATGACTTCATAACCAGAACCTAAAAAAACAGAATCCTCAAATGATTCAGTGAAAAATGATACAGCTGAGAAAAATCTTCAGATCTGTTGTAACTGCCTCACTTTGTAGTAGGAGACCAGGACTTGAAGCTATTCCATAGCTTCCTTCCCAAGATCACACCAAGGAAGTGGTAAAAGCCGAGCTCAAACTTAGGCTGCCATGTATGATGTCACCATATCACAAAAGAAGCCAGCCTCAGAGTATGTAAATTTTAAATGAAATCTCCATATAACACATCAATATAATAAATGTGAATTAGAGTATATAACAATGCCCTCATAAGATGTTACCTAGTATTTTTCCATTTTTTTAATATCATTGTGCTAAGGCAGGACATAAGTCAAAACATTAAAGAAAAAATGTAAGCATCAAACACTCATTTTAAGGGCTGTTCAGATGAATTCTCTTCTGTTTCTCAGAAAATCCACCTGGGCATAGCATCTGAATCCCATAGTGTCTTAGTCACTGAAAGTCTTCCATATAAAAGGGAGTATTCTAAGACTTAGAGCCAACGAGCACGGTAAAAAAATCCCAAAGGTCAAGGAAGTGAAAGTACTTCTTTTCTCTACGAATGAGCAAGCTTCTCTAAGAAGGAATCTGAAACATGGGCTGGCGTGAGCAGTGGTTCATCAGGCCTTCACTAGTATGACATCATGAAAATGAGGCAGCATACTGATTTTCATAATCATTGTCATTACAATGCCAGCTAGCTCAGCTCCCGAATTCGGGATAAATAGCCAAGCTCTGAGTGCAGGAAAGCCAAGGATGCAGGTAATGCCATCGCTGCTCTGTTGCACCCAGGCATTCTCCACGAAGCAGCTAATAACAGAGAAAGCAAATGGTACTTGTGTCTAGCGAAGGAGAAAGAGCAACAATAGCAGGAGGACCAAATGCACAGAGGGTGAGCTCCGAGACCCACAGAGCTGTCACCTGCACTTTCTAGACACGCTTAAAATGTGTCTGGTGGGCTGAGAGAGGCTCAGGTGGGTAGTGTCTGCTGCACAAGCGTACGACCTGATTTCAGTCCCCGTCACTCACACGAAATCAAGGCACGGTAGTGCACATCTGTAACCCCAGTGCAGGGGCGGTGGAGAGAGCCGAAGCTCTGAGGCTTGCTGCCTGGCCATTATAATGTAACTGAGCATGCTCCAGAGTCAGTGAGTGACTGTCTCAAAAAGAAGCTGGAAAGCAACTGGGGAAGACATGTGAGAATGACCTCTAGCTTCCACAAGCTCTGATTGTGCAAAGACCTACTTACTGTGCACAAACATGCACACACACACACACACACACACACACACACACACACACACACACACACTGTGCCAGGACTCAATAGGCACTTGCAGGCTGAGAGAGGTAGAGAGTTACCTGGGAATGGTCTATTAGCAGAATAAGCCCTTTCACCACACTGACAGGGTCACCAGACGCCGACAGCATTTTGGACATCAAATCACTGTATCCATTGAAAAAAGTGACAGGTCTGAGCTGAACATCAAACAGGATGGCTGACATGCCAGCATAGGAGTCAAGGTTTTCCTCCCCTTCATCAGGAGTGGCCGCAATTAAGCTTTCCAGCCCCTGAGCTTCGATGACCACCTAGGGAGAAAAGGACACAAGGTTGATGACCACCGCCCCCACCGCTCCACAACGATGGAGATGCCTCTGAGCTACAAACAGAACTTTTCCAGGGCCCAGACTAAATATCATCTGTAATTAGGCTAGAATAAAAACCAAACCTCTGTGCCTGAACATAATAGAAATTAGCTCTCTCCATGTAATCTTCAAAACCACCCTTGGATGTATGGAAGATTTTATTCATTTAGTAGATGAGTGAAGACAGGTGAATATTCACTTGGCTAGTATGAGGCAGAAGCAGGGCTTGAATGCCTTCTCTGTGACTACAAAGACCACAGGCCTTCTGTTGGAGGGCATCATTGGAGATGCTTAATCTCCCCACCATGTCTCATACAGTGGACCTGCCATCTTCTCGAGCCTCTGAAAGGAGATGGAGAGGCATGGCAGTGCCGCCCAATCTGCTGTTCTGAGAGGGGACATTCATACCCCTCCATGTCAAACTTTCACCCCGACCATAAAACAAGGCCACACTATGAGGAAGCTCGCACCCTGATGACTAGCATGTAAAGAATTTTGCATATTTTCAATCCTGCATAGTCAGGCACTAACCACTGTATGCTTGGCATTCTCAAGTGCATATCAGAAAGCAAATGGCAATGCCTTGGCATGGAGGGTATGAGATTCTGACCATGGTGCTACTGAAGGGTGTGGGCATTTCATATCAAGTTCCCATAGCCATGGATCATTTCTGAAGCTTGAATAGCTTCAATTAGAAGGCTACAATCTGAGAGTCATTAAACTAAACTGATGGTATAGTTCACAATAACAATAAATCATCATTTAATTTTGGACTAAAGTTCAACCAGTTCTCAACTGCCGACACTTGATTCTTGTCTCCTAGCAGTACTGGAGAAATTTGAATTAACTCTTTGGGAGCTGTACATTGTATTATGAAGTTTCTTGTAGGAGATTCCAGTCTCTGCAGAGATGAGCAAAAGGGCATAAAATTAAACACTTAGAAACACCCAAGCAATGCATCTATGATTGCAAGTTTTACTAGCAACTTCTGGCACAGCTTCAAGTCTGTACATGTATGTGTGTTTGGAGTTACAGATAGAAATTCTGGCACAACTTCAAGTCTGTGTGTGTGTGTGTGTGTGTGTGTGTGTGTGTGTGTGTGTGTGTAGTTACAGACAGACGTCTGGAAAGTGAAGCAAACCCAACTACTTGGGTTTCAACTTCAGATGTGAAGCTTTATGACAGAAACCACCACTGGCTTACGAGCGTGTTCTGTAACGCTACTCTCTGTATATGTCATTTTTCCTCACACCAGTTTCTTTGATTAGTAACTCATGGGACATAAGGTACCTGACTACCATGAAGATCTGTCTTCCCGACGTACTGGAAGATGTTCAGGTTACTTCTCCTCAGAATGCCAGAACCCGAGTACAGCAGGTCAAGGCTGTATGTGGATGCCGCGCGGGGGCTACCTAACAACAAAATAACCACAGGACTCAGGAACAGTTTGGCAGTGCTGACGAAAGGGGGTGGGATGGGAAGCTCTTTGGGGGTCACTTACGTTCTATGTAGCCAGTATAGGCAGAAGAGGACCCACTCTTGGAGAAACGGTCATAATTGTGAGCAACCATCTCCTTCAGGACTCGACGGATCATTTTGCTGCAACACAGAAGAGAAGATTTCTCATTCACAGCAATGTCTGTTTCCCAAATCAAATTGGGAATGTGACCAAATCCTCAGCGTTATGAGAAGAAGGCCACATTTTCCTCATGCCACAAGACTGGAGGAAGTACCAGCTGGGCACCAGTGGCCAGGTGTGGGCTTTCCCTTCATTCCTCAAATATCGAAACTAGTTTGGTGTCAAAAGGACAAAGGGAAGGGTGCCCAGCAATGAGATGTCTTCAGCTGACTGGTGGACACTTTGGGCAGAAAACACAGTTTGAGTCATCATAGCTGTGTTGTTAAAACAGTATATAAATTTAAGGAAGCTGTGTCAAACAGGACTGCACACACATTTTCTTTACTTTCCTATACCTTCTAAAATCACCATTGGCAGATGATCCAAAACAGTCAGTTTCCAGGATTGCTATCTATGCATTTTCCACTACAGAAAAAGCTCAATAAAGCCCACAGGAGAATGGTTCTCTCCTCTTACTTCAGGCCTGTGTCCTGGTTATGTACTCAGCATTGAGATCTTTTCATTTCTCATCAGGTCATACTAATCAATCAATAATAGTAAAATTACAACATGTCACTCTTCCCCCTCGCCAGTAATCAACTAAAGTAAACCAGGCCTAGGTCTGAGGCAGAAACATTTTGCAAGAAGGAATGGTACTCTATACCTCCCCTATATACCGGTATCACCAGTTCATTCAATTTTTGGCTTGGAAGTGAAAAGGTCATGTTCTCAAATATTCAGAGGGTTTCCATGTGGGTGAACATTGGACACACTCTGCTCTGTGCCAGAGCCAATATGATGGCATCAGTGTATAGGAACACACAATAATGAAGTCTCCAAAGTGGCACAGGTTTGCTAAGTGGCAGTGAGCTTCCTGGCACTGGGGAGAGGCAAGTGGAGTCTGGTACAACTTGCCAGGAAAACAAACAAACAAAACCACCCTACACTGGAAAGAGACCCATACCAAGCAAAGTTGACCTTAACATCCCTTCCAGCTCTAAGGGTTTTGTTACTGAGAATCGGATGTAAATGTTTACCACGGCTTCTTTCCATTTCTTAGGCTGCTCTCTGCCCCACTACCTCCTCTTTCCTGCCCCCAAATCGCTAGGTTCCCAAAGCAGAGGCAACAGACACACCAAGGCCTCCTCCAAGGTGTGTCAGTAACAAGGAAGGAACAGAAGAACCTGATCCATACAGGCCAGCAAGGCCAGGGTTCCTTCCTGCTCCGGATCCCACTCACCTCCCTCCAGCTGGCCTGCTCCGCCCTCCCTTCTTCCCCTGCTAATTTCCCCTTCCTTCTGCTTCCGATTTCTCATTCCTCTTATTTTGATTTTCTTGTCTTTTACTTCCACCCAACCCTATTCCTGTTTTCCTTTTCTCTAAGGAATCCGCACACTGGGTCTTCCCTGGGGGAAGTATTCCTTGTGTATGGCAGAGAAGATGAACATCCCTCTCTAATTCCAGTGAGCAGGAGCTTTGGGAGAGATACCCTCAAGAGGGAAGTTCAGAGTGAATTAGGAAGGGGCACTTGGGAAATGGAACGAAGTGAGTCCAGCGAGAGTGACCGAGCACACCAAAGTCCACGGGAACTGCTGTGCAGACCCCAGCTTTTCCTAAACAGTGGGCCGTGACTAAGATTTGTAACTTCAGCAGCAAATTCAGGGGAGTTGTGACAGAAGTCTTCAAAAATTCTTCACATTTGAAAAGTTAAGAGGAAAGAGCATTTGTTGAGAATGCTTCATCTCATTGTGCTACTTACAAAAATAGTCTTGTTGAAAATGCAATTTGACTTTAAAACGTTCTTAACATTTGGTGATCTATATATTTACCACACTGAGTAGATACCCAGAGTAACAGTTCCAAATCTCAACCAGCAAAAGGGAAGCTGTTTTATCTGACTCAGTAAAGCGTTTCTTTGGAGAAACTTGACATTCACTGGGTTTATGTAACACTACCTTGTGAAATGACCAGGTCACGATTGTTAGCTATGTATGCACCACATCAATATACAAATAGGCATGAGTAAGAAGAAGCATATGGAATACATCGTACCTCGAAGGCATTTCAAAATGCAGGATGTCTTGCACAAAGGTGAGCATGTATTTATTCATTTCTTTGGGAAGTTCCCCAATAGACAGCAGAATGTTCTTCACATCCATGTAGGAAGGATTGTTCTTTAAGATCACAGCAGCAGCAGCAGTGCGCACAGTCTTCTCATGAACCTTACGATTCTGGTGGTAAATCCTGTTCAAGGTCTTCTTCACCTGTTAGAAGACGTTCCACCTTATCACACCCATGGAGTTTTAAAGTTGATGTTGTAGGGACAGTGAGATGGGTCATCAGATACAGGTCTCTGTGGCCAAGCCTGATGACATGGGTTCAACCCTCTGGACCCACGTGGTGGACGGAGAGTACTGACTTCAAAAAGTTGTTTCCTCAACTCTGCATGTGTGTCATGTTACACGCATGCACACACATACACACACACTCAATAAATTAATGTAATAATTTAAAGTTGATATTGTAGTAAGAGAATGTTTAGATATACATGTCTTACTGCATTTGCTAGATTCCTCTGAATCAGGTTGATCCCGTGTGACTAGGCTGGCTACTGGACTGTGGACAGAATTGACGTGGATGGCACTTAGGCAGAGGCAGGTAAGACCTGGCATGCCTTCTGCATCTCTTTCAGGACTGCTGTGGACACAAAGCCACGTGTTCCTAACCCACGTTAGACACAGCATGAGTACTAAACTGTGGATCAACTGTAAGGTTTTGCAGTCCATGTGTTTTGCAACAGTGCTTGGTATTACCTGATATAGACTTCTAAGGCTGCCACGGCAATGGGAATTTGTGGGGGAGAAGGCAATATGAACTGGTATTCTCTTACAATAAAGGAGCTCAGATTCCTTTCCCCTCTTTTTTAATAGAAAATTTATGTGCCCATTTCTAAAAGTAGTTTTATGTTCATGCTAAAAAGAGAAACAGTTTGCAAATATTCCCAACCCCAGCTCACGCACAGTCTCCCCACATTGGCACTCTGTACCAATCTCTGCGGTTTGAATGTGTCTCCCCAAGGTTTACATGTGGTCATCAGTGCGGTGGTGTTACCATGGTAGGATCCTTGAGATGTGGGGTCTTGTGGAACACAATTAGGTCATGGAAGCATTGTCTCCAAGAGGAATTAATACAGGTTTCACAGGACTACTTTAGATCCTTCAAGAATTGGTTTCTCTAAGGGATTACAACACCTCTCTTGAATCTTTATTCTACATATACCATTTTCTTCAGTTCTTCTTGTCTCTTGCCTTTTCCCATTTCTTCAAATCTTGCCCTTGCTCTCAGACTTGTCGGAGTTCAGTAACCTACCCAAGAACAAACAACTAGGAAAGGACCACCCAGAATTATAGCTAGGTTGGTCATTCTTAAAAGCCCACACCTCATGCCTCACAGCCAACTACCTTTCATACAAAATGGTAGGAGGACACTCAGCGGCAGACAGCATCCTCAGTGGTAAACACTGTCAAGGAAGCTCCCATTGAAACACTCTCTGCTCTAACAAAATCACAATGTAGGAGGCTTCCCAAAAACCATCCATGAGCAGTTGAGGTCACATACTTCAACCAGTTGAAAACTTTAACAGTGCTCTGAAATGTACAAAAGCAAAGATATTTCTAAAGAGAATTTAGCTACCTGGCCAACTACTAGAATTTGTTTCTCAAGACAAGAAAATGTGTTTCAGGATACAAGACATCTCTGTTCAAAATGTGAGGCTGATTTAGAACAGCCTTAAATACACCTTAAGAGTTATTTCTAAGCATAATGGAGTGATTGTTGTGAGAAAAAAACAAAAACAAAAGCAGAGGAACTTGAGAGGAGATGGCATTTGGTTTACCAGAAGTGTTTTTCCTCCCTCCTTCTGCTCATGTGTTTACCTCATCTGTGATGAAGGAGACATCATATCTCTGGAGAACAGTGGTAGCCAGGTGGCTGACGGGCCCTTCTCCAGCCTCAGCGTACTTCAAAAGGAGTGGGATGCCTTCAGGAAGCAGGGCGTTCTTCAGAGCCAGCAGATACATCGTGGTGTCCTCCTTTTTCTCTGGCTTTTCAAGCCCTCCCAGGATTAGCTTCTTAGCTTCAACCACTGCCTAAAACACCACACACCTTAGACAAATGCCCAACTTCACACTCAGACCAAAAAAAAATCAACTTCTGGGAACTTTGCTTTGGCTGCCAAGTAAAGCTTGCTAAAGGTACCAAGTCTTCTCAAATGTATGCTTACATGTTCTAGAGAAGCAGAGCATAATTAATAATGGGCATTTAGTCTTTAACACACTCCAAACACAAACAGTCAATGATGAAGCTCAGTTATTCTTTGTGGAGGGAACTGCCTCAGCACCTCAAACAAAGGCAGCTGTGGTTCCATACCCCAGACCCTTTTACTCATGGTTTAATACTACAGCGTCCATGGGGCTTGGCTCCTGGATCTCCTGGTGATAGCACGATTCATGGGTGCTTAAGACTCTTAGATAAAATAAAGCAATATTTGCATGTGATCTATATGTACCCTCCTGCTTATGTGAGTCATCTCTCCATTATTTGTTGTACTCAATATAATATGACTGCTGGGTGAATGGCCATGCTGTGATGAATACATGGTTACTGCACGTGCATTATAAAGTATGAAGTCCGTGCTCACTAAATAATGCTGACTGGGTGCTTTTACATGTGGATTTTTTCTTTAGCCACAATGTGATATTCAACACAGAAACTGATTAAAAAAAATCAGCCATTTAATAATTATTGGAATTGAAAATGGAGAGATTTGTCATTCTCAAATATCTTAGATGTAATGCTAAATTTGATTTCTGCCAAATTTTAACATCCCTTTGTTAGTGACCCTTTCTCAAATGCTTATCTATCTTTGGCTGCTCCCTGTGGAGTCTCAAGAATGATTCTCCGTATTGTTTTTAATAACAAGCATTTGGAAGAAAAAACAACACAGTGATGTCTTTCTTTAGCAGAAGAAAATGGGGACTGAATGCTTGCTCATAATAAGAATGAGGGAAAGGGGGCTATATATAATATTCAGCATTTTAACATTGTAAAATAGGAAAACAGGCTCTTAATGGATATTGCTAGATTTTAATCTACTTTGGTTCTCCATATTTAGTTATGCTTACAAAGTGAGTTATTTTCTCTCTTTTTTTAATGTAACAGATGAGATATTTGATAGCCTACTCAGGCAAATAAAGATACTTTTGAAAATATAATAAAGATACAAAGTTCTAGGTGATCAGCAGCAAGTCAATTCCTATCACTAAAACTCACATATGACAATTGCACTCATCACAGAAAAGGTTCCAAATCAAAGAGGAAGTTGTAGAGTCCCATAGCCTCTAAGGACACCACTCAAAAGAGATGAAGAAGATCATTCAATTGTGGTAAAGGGTTGAGTCATCAAGAGAACAGTAAGAACTACAGACATCCATAAGTGCAACAACAGAGCATCTGAGATCTGAAAGGAGACATACTGCAACCCAAGAAACACACAGAACTTTACAGGTTACCCAGACAAAGTCAACAAGGAAACATCTGACATGAACTCTACTTGGGGCAAGTGCCTCCGAGTCATAAGCTGAACATCACATCCAATATCTACACAGTAGATTTTCTTCTGAAGGATAGACAGAAAATTTGCAGGCTACATCATATATTAGGTTTGGGGGTTTGTTGTTGTTGTTGTTGCTTGGGGGCTTTTGGGGGTGGGCAGGGTCTCACTATGTAGCCTTGGCTGGCCTGGAGCTCACTATGTAGACCAGAGAGCTCCAGGTCCCTGTGCCTCCCAAGCGCTGAGATTAAAGGTGTGCAGCACCATATCTGGTACACTGCAAGTGTTAACAAATTTAAGAGGACTGAAACCACATCAAATATTTTCCAGCCACAATTATGTGAAACTAGAAGTCAAATAACAGAAAGGAATCAAGGAAAATTAACAAATAGGTGGAAATTAAACAATATTTTCCTGAACAACTATTAGATCAAAGAGAGACTTAAAATACACCTTCAGGTAAATGAAAATGGAAATACAACATACTTCATGGTTGCAGTAAAAGAGCCCTGAGAACAAAGCTTACAGCATACTTGCTGACATCAAAAGGGATCTCAAATAAACAACATGTTATGTTTCAAATAACTGTTGTCAAGTACAAAAGAAACTCAAGATTAGCAGAAGAGAGAAAATAACAAAAACCAGACAAGAAAAAAAATGAAGTAGAAAATTATGCAAAAAAATCAATGAAAATAAAGTTTTGAGTTTTTAAAAACATAATCAAAATCAACAGACCTTATGCTAGAATAAGAAAAGAAGATAAAAGACTCAAATAGGCAAAATCAGAAATGAAAGATGAGACGTTATCACTGATGAGACAACACAAAAGGTCCTCAGAGTCGGCGGTGAGGAGAGTGGTACACAGGAGACTATGCAGCTTGGAGACACAGCCCAGCTACTTGAAACAAACAAACATGACCAAATGATGGAAACCTCCGTAGTGTGAAGACACTGGCAATGAGCAATTCCGACTGAGTAATTAAGGAAAGGCCCACAACCAGATGGCGTCACATTTAAAGGGAATACTACCACTGCCACTGTGCAAAGCACTGCCCTATACCAGAGCCAAGACACTCCCAGAAGACCAGAAACCGAGTTCACTGCTGAACATAGACTGGACACTTCTAACGAAGTAACATCAGCAGGGAGGAGGAGAGATGGCTGGGCAGTTAAAAGCACTTGATGCTCTTGCAGAGGACCCAGGTTCAATTCTCAGAGCCACATGGCAGCTCACAATCATCGGTAGCTCCAATTCCAGAGCATCAAGCTCTTTCTTCTGGTCTTCACAGGTACCAGGCACACACGCAGTGCAATTACATACATGCAGGCAAAACATGCATACACACAAAATCAATAAACCTTTTTAAATCAGCAAGGGGACACTAAAATGCCAACATACACATTCTACACAATTGAGATTCATCCCATAAATAACTCAGCCATGGTTTTGCATATGCAGATCAACAAATGTAAGTGACCACATCAGCAGAGTGAAGGCCAAAACAATATGGTCATCCCAACAGATGAAGACGAGACATCAAAGTGTTACCTTCTATTCTGGTAACTCTCTACAAATTAGGTGTCAAAGGAATGTCCCATGTGATAAAAGCCATGCGAGGTGAATTCATAACTAACACACACTACACAGTGAGAAGCTGAAGGCTTCTCTATGATCAGGAACAAGACAAGAATGCTTAGTAGGCACTACTATTTATCCTCATACTTAAAAGTCCTAGCCAGAATAATTAGCCAAGAAATAGAAATAACAGCCATTAAGTGGGAAAATAAATATGTGAAACAACCTGCTTCATGACCAGATGGCTTTACACACAGAAAAACCTACAAACTCCATTATCTCACTATTGGAACTGATACATGGATTTGGGAAAGTGGCGGGACACATGTCAACCAACAAAATCAGTAGTATTTCCAAATGTTAACAATGTAGTGTCTGAAAAGGAAGTTACGAAAACAGCCCTTTTATAATAGCATCAAAAAATAGAGTACTTATAACCCAGGAAGTGAGACACTGTATACTGAACACTAGAAAATGGTGACTGAAACAGCTGAGGATATCACTAATAAGTAAAAGGATATCCCATGTTGGAAGAATTAAATGTGTATAAGATCCAAAGCAGATTCAATGCAAACATATAAACATGTCAATGACATTCTTCAGAGAACTAAAAAATATAGTTCTAAAATCTGAAAAGAATAAAAAAGACACCAAATGGCCAAAGCTACTGAGTAAAAAGAACAAAGCTGGAGACATCACATTACTGTATTTTAAAATACAATACTAAGCTACAGTCATAAAAATGGCATGGTGTTGGCATCAATGTATAGAAACAACAGCCTGTGGGATCAACCTGGGATAAATAAGCCTACACAACAATGGTCAAATGATTTTTTTCCATAAAAATGCCAAGAACATACAATGGGGAAAACAGTGTCTTCAATATGGCTTTGAAAAAACATACATTCACATACAGCAGAATGGAAGTGTATCCTTAACTAACTCCTGTACAAGAATTAGCTCAAAATCAATTAAGGATTTAAACTTGAGATCTGAAACTGCAAAATATCTAGAAAAAAGCACAGGGGGAGGCATAGTATGAAAACACACCGTAATCCCAGCTCCTGGGAGTCTGAGGTAGGAGGTTGAGTCTGACGCCTACTTAGGCGAATTCAAGGCAAACTTGAGCTACATAGTGAGAGCCTATTTCAAAAGTAGGCAAGGCTACAGATGAAATTCAGTAGTAGAATCATATGCAAAGCTATGAGTTTGAGCTCCACCACACATACACATGCACACACACACACACACACACACACACACACACACACACACACACAATTTGTCTAAGACAAATAAAAACAAAGACAAAACAACGCCTAAGTACATATGTAGAAGACTATCAACAAATATGTATTAGGAGGAAGATTAATGGGTGATTTGCTTTCTAGACAGCATTTATTGAGTACAATCTATATACTAGGAATCATTTAAGCAACTGGTATTGAAAAACAAGGATTCATCACTGTGTGGAGCTTACATCCCAGTGACAGACAGAAATAAACAAGAAAGCTAATAAGCAACTGAACTGTAAAGTAAGTGAGATGGGAATGATTGCTGGGCAAAAAGGAAACGGGGAGCGGGTTTGAGGCTGGGGAATGGCTGAGTTGGCAGCATGGCAGTACACTGGGAAGTCTGGACAGCAGTGACATGAGACAGTGGCACTTACTTTGAGCTTGCATCCTTCATTCTGACACAGCTTCCTGACAAGAGCTCCAATGATGATCATAACTGTTTCTCTGATGTCATTGCTTGCAAACGAACCTTTGAACTTACTCTGTAGCCAAACAGAGATCAAATAATAGGTTATCAGAACACTTCAGCATTCCAAAGGGGCACTTTCAGTTAACAAAGTAACAAACACCTAAAAATGATTTTGTGTTTCTAGACAACAAACTCAGAAATTGTTTTTGAGACACTTAGAAACGTGTTGTCTAGTTTTGCACAAAGGATTACTAGAATGCCTGATCCCAGGTGATCTAGTCCATCTGTGAACCCTTCAGGGTTCAGGGATTTGATTATTTAGGTTAGTCTAGTCTTTATATGAACCAGGGACATCAATGTGGATGTAAAAACAGCATGAAGTTTTTTGAAGTCAAAGTAACTCTAATGGTTTATTGAAGCATCACATAGACTCTCCACTCAGTGTTTTCTTCTTTGCCACATGATAAGATAGGTGGCCGTAATCTTCAGGCTGTCATAAAGCATTGGTTGTTCTGATCACTGGGCCTGCAAAGACCCTAAGTGAGAAGATTTGCTGTGCTGTCAGTGACTAATGCACAGAAAAGAGGCCAGCGAACTCTGAATGTGAATACTAGGTGGACTCTCTCTTTGGCCTCCTCTCTGATTGGATCCACTGTTAATGCCTGCTTATGCTCAAGCAGCTTTTTGTTATTATAGCTGGGCGGTGGTGGTACACACCTTTAATCCCAGTACTCAGTAGGAAGAGGCAGGTGGATCTCTGTGAGTTTGAAGCCAGCCTGGTCTACAGAGCAAGTTCCAGGACAGGCTCCAAAACTACACAGAGAAACCCTCTCTCAAAAAACAAATAAAAAGAAAGAAAGAAAGGAAGAAAGGAAGAAAAAACAGAAAAAGATAAGAAGAAAAAGAAGCTTTTTGTTTATCATTTTTGATTTTAGCATTCCGTGGTCATTATTTTCCCAGCATCCCTGACTTACAAGGAGTGCTCGAAGCAGTTCTTCATCGGGGTGGGAGGCAAATCCACAGGCATAGAGGAACCTCTCCTGGAGAACAATGCTGCTGTCACTTTTGAAATCCAAAAAGTCCAGGATGGCTTCCAGTGAGTCTGGAGTCTGGGCAGAAGTGACAGCATCCACCAGCTGAGGGCTGTAAGGCAGGCGTCACGTCAGTCATCAGGACTTACAATGACATTACTACAAATCTCCATCACTCACCATTAATGTGAGCTTCCTAAAGAAGTACATTTCCCTTTGAACAAAAAATATGAATAATACATTCTCCAAAGCCCTCTCCATTCTCCTTAGACCTCTCTAGTTCCCGCTCTTTTCTGAGAACACACAAACTACTACACTGTACTTGCCTAACAAACACAATTTCAAGATTTCTAAGTTAAAATTACGTAAATAAAAATCATAAACTAAGTTCAAAATATTTTCTATGAGTAATACATAGAATCTGAAGTTCCAAATTGAATACTTTTCTCTAATTGGATGTGTAAATATACACATTTCTCAAACGCCTAGTTTAACTCAAACACCATTATTGATAGAAAATGGATAACTATTTTAACTTCATATGTAAGAGAGAAGTTTTTTCCCTTTTAAAATAAAAAAGACACCATGGTATAGTTCTATTTTATCCACAACAAATGTGTTATTGTCTTCCATGGAGAGATTCTAGTTAAAAGCTAGTCATAAAAAATATCCTTGGTTAGTTGAGTCTGGGCATGATAAAATTTTAACTGATTTTTCACACTAATGAACATATGAATGAATATGAATATAAATAATGAATATAAATACTACATACTGAGCTCACACTCATAGTGGCTCAGTCCTGTAATCCTAACACTAAGGAGGTTGAGGCAGGAGGATCAACCCAGGTTCAAGCCCAGCCTGGGCTACATAGTAAATTTCAGGATAGCCTGGACAACAGAGCAAAATTTTGTCTCAAAATATATCAAACAAACAAAATTGATTAATAGCTTGAAAACACAATTCCATAGAAGCGAGGCAACCTCCGTTTCAGAGCATGATTATAAACTGGAGTCTGTACTAATTTAGACTCATGGACACAAAACAATCGTCATGAGAATCAGTGTGAAACTGATGTACTTCTGGACAAGTGAGCATTGTTACTGACCTGTGGCACAGCAGTTAGAGAGTGCAGACCAGCAGAAGGAGGTAGGATAGAAGGTTGAAAGGGGTCCTTCTTATATAACAAAAAACAGGGTTAGAGAGATGGCTCAGTGATTTAGGGCACTGCTGCTCTTGCAGAAGAACCAGGTTCAATTCCCAGCACCCATATGGCAGCTCACAACAACCTGTGACTCCAGTTCCAGGGGATCCAATACCCTCTTCTGACCTCCAGGGGCAGCAGACATGCATGATGTGCATACATACATGTAGCAGTGCTCAAACACATAAAGTAAATCAATTTAAAAAAAATAATTAAAAGACAGTAACAGTGTAAGAACATTTTCCTGATAGATGACCCCGAGCAACAATGGGGGCTTACAGCACTTCTTTCTTCTCTGACTTCAGAATCTGGAGGATCTCTTCTCTCCTGGCAGTCCTGAGGTGCTGAATGAAGGCCAGGAAGCTGCTGACAGCCTTGGCATTGGACAGGTTTTCAGGCTCCAGGTGTGTTCTGATAGACTGCCAGTGCTCCGCCAGCTGCAAAACATGGGTGCAGTGCAGCCCCCCTTCATTCTGAGCTCACAGTTTGCAAAGGGAGCTGTTCTCCACAACACAATGGTCACCTAGATCATCTCATAGGTTGTATGAAGCTAGAAGCAAATACAGCAGCCTGCTTCCCCTGGGGGCCATGCCTCCACAGCACCATTTTGTCTGCCAGTGCTGAACTTGAAGGACCTGGGGCAACAGCCAACCGATGTTTGGATGTGTTGGTCCCCCAATGACTGTTGTCATAACTACATCTGAGGCCAGGCTTTGAGCACACTAGTGAAGGTGTTCAGAACATTAATTAACAGCAGGGTATCTGTATTCGGGAGGGGCAAAGTGAGATCTACTGCAGAGCTGCACCATTTTTTAACTTACTTGAACCTCACTGAAAATCAACTTTTCAAACAGTTTCAGCTCCCTACTCTTCTTAAAGTACTGTTTGTGTGAAATCCAGTGTCATGCTGTTATTGGGATATGAACTGTTCAGAGACTGCATCTATGCTTAATGGGCAGTATTAAGAAAAAGGTCATTTTCTCACACATTATAGTTATCATACAATGGTTTTGAAAATATAATAATTCTAGTCAGCGGTATCTTTCAGCTTTGAAACAAGCCAATAACTTAACTTCTCCACTTCAGTATTTTTTTTAACCTCATTGCATAGGATGTTAAAATCTATCAGTGACTGTTAACTGTGTGGTAAATCACCTGCTATCTGTAGTAAAACGATTGATTCCTTTATAGAATTAGCTGAAGTTTTTACTGTAGAAAAAGAGAGAGAGGAAGGGAGGGAGGGAGGGAGGGAGGGAGAGAGAGAGGGAGGGAGAGAGATAGAGAAGAAAAGAAGAAAGGGAAGGAGGGAGGGAGAGAGGGAAAGGAGAAAGGAGGGAGGGAGGAAGGCAGGGAGGGAGGGAGGGCAGGCGGGAGGGGTGATGGGCAATTACAATCCAGCATCAGTGCCGTTTGCTCACACTTACAGAAGGGCATCCTTTGCAGGCTTGCTGGAGGACCTGCCCCACGATGGGAATGGCTGTGTACTTGGAATCAAGTGCTTTAATTACACCTGCAACTTGCTTCCCGGGTATCATCCTCGGACCTGCTTCAGTCGTCTTCAGCTCCAGTTTCTGCCTGTGCGACACCAGATGGCAACAGCACATTATAAGAATGGATGTTTGTATGTGAGAGAGAAGAAACAATACAAAAACTGCAGTTATTTCAGCAAGTAAAAAACCAACTAACTTACTCCATCTACACTCGGGCTGCAGAATCTCCAGGGACACCTTAAACCCCAACAAAATTATGTAATTTTTCTGGTGTAACTGTCTTATTCAAAGGCTTGGAAGTTTAAGTCTAGACTTTCAAAATATCATGCCAAGAGAAAATTTGCCTGGGTGCTGAACAAGACATGGGGTGTCAGCCCTTCTGAATTTAGACCTGTTTTCTGAAAATCACGTTCAAGGCAATCACATGTCATCTGTGAGCCAACACAGTCGGCAAAGCTTATTTCCCAGAAAATGGTCTCAGTAGTGACTTTTTTCTGATATGCTCTCTTAGAAATGCATCTGTCATCAATAGATGGGAAAAACTAGTGTTTTGTATATATAACTAGATTGTGTGAAAAATGACGATGAACAGGTTTAATTTAATTTTTTCAAGGAATTCAGTTGAAATAAAGAATCCATGTGTACATGCATACACAGGCACACACACACACACACACATACACACACCCCTATTTACAAGTCACATACAATAATGTATAGGAGAAAAAGTTGAACATAATAATAGAAGAAGGAAAATAAGAATTCTGGCATTGTCTTACTTCGATACTATTGTTCCTGCAATGCTTGGTAGGAAGTTTAAGGCAAAAGCCCTCGTCTCTTCGGCAAGCACAGCTGTGACAAAGCTGTCCTCTATCTTATAGGTGGTGACAGATGTGGCTTTTGAGCTGACACCCAGCACCTGCATAAGTAAAGACATAGGTGAGTAAGTAGAAAGTAGTTATTCTTAATCTTCAATTGAGTCAAATAGCAGCCCCCTCTCGATTTTCCACAGAGTGCCTCTCTGACACCATTGCCCATCACCCACAACACATTAAATATCGATTCATTTGGCACATGTGAAAATGTAACCTAAACTAAAAACGATAAATGTCTTCAAGTTACACTGCTTTGTTCTTTCCTACTATTTAAATCCCTATAGAACGGCATTTTCGAATGCCCCAAAGAAAGCAGTATCTGCCTTACGTACCTGGTTCAGTGTTGTAAACCCAGGCCTCTCGATTTTGCATGTATCCAGGGCCTTCATTTTGATCACTTTGTCTTGCTGAGCCTGGTAGGTCACTTTACAATCCCCAGAGATATCTACCTGGAGCAGGAAGTAAGAGCGTAATGCTTGGGATGTCGTGTGGACCATCTGTGTTCTCCCAGGAAGAGGCTTGATTCCTGGGCTCCTAATATGCCATGGCAGAACCCCACCCCACCCCAGGAGGACAAAACAAAAGGACAGAAATCCTGGGGGGCTCCTACAGGACGCTGACTCTCACTTTCTTTCATTGAGTCTTAAAACACCTCCTCAGCGGTCCCAGGAACCATGGGCAATTCCTACTTCTCTCTGAGTTTAGGATTTGGACACACTGCCTGACCATAACTGAAATCTCTGGTCATATGGGTAATTATCTAGGGAGGGAGAGGTGTTTTTAAAGGCTGTAGCAAGATGGTGTGTGATTTTAACAAAGAAATATGGTCATAAATTCTTGAAACTCATGGGATTAACTAAACTCATTGCCATTCATAATAAAAAAAAATTGCGTTTAGACGAAAACATCCCAATACAGACTCTGCTCCGCTCCTCCGAGCTTTCCCCTTGGCCCTGAGCTGGCACCACACCGGCTGCCGTGTTAGCAAGCAGTCCAGCCACATTCCCTCGGCCCTCCACCCATGGGCTGGGTGAACTAAGACCAGGAAAACTGTGTACAGCTTGACTCAGATGTGATAGCTGGAGACCTATGATTTCTCTAACTCGTTTCTATTTCTTTACTGAATTAGGGGATTGGGGTAAAGTAGTGAGTCTGCACACTGACACTGCATTCCAAATATCTGAGATATTAAACTGCAGATGCTCAGCTCTTTGCTTGTCTACAATTTCAGCATCCTTGGGATAAATCCAGGAAACGTATTTTTAATATGCTCCCCACAAGGCAGCAGGACAGAGACACCTAAACACCATTGGACACCCAACGTTTTCTGCATATATAACAATTATCTAAAGTCCCTTTAATATAATTGGTTATAATTCCTTAACTCTGTTTTTAATCAATAAATAATTTCATATGTAAATGAGATCTGACTACCTAACTTAAGTCAACTTTTCTAAAACAGAACAGCACTTTTAATTTTCTGTAGAATTTCAACAGGCAGAAATTCTTACAAACAATTTTGATATGCTTATTGACAAGATGCTGATTGACTTATTCATTGGCCTACTTATTTATTTTGTAGTACTGGGGCTTGAACTGCCTCATGAATGTTCAACAAGCTCTCTGCTACTGATCCATATCCCCAGCCCTTCTTAGATTTTATTATTGCTTGGGAGGTATGTATGTGTGTGTTATGTATGTGATAAATGCATGTGTGCACACCTGTGTGCATATATGTACACCTGTCTGTGTGTGTGTACACATCCATATGCATACATGTAGGCCATACCTAGAGGGCATAAGGTGTTTTCCTCCATCACTTTTTGCCTTATTCCCTTGAGACCAGTTCTCTCACTGAAACTTAAGCTCACCTTTTGGGCCAGCAGGGCTGGCCAGTGAACTCTCAGAATTCACCTGTCTCTGTCTGCTACACAGGGAACTAGCACAGAAGTGTATACCCAGCTCTTATGAGGGTGGTGGAGAGCTGGTGGTTTTCATTAAGTTATTCAGGACCTTTGCCTAAAGTCTGGTCTTAGCTCCCAAGTAGCTGAGATTACAGGTGAGCACTCCTTCCCCTCACCAGGATGCTGAATTCTTAGAATCATCACTAAGTACCTCGTTGATGGTTCCGGAGCTTAACTGCATCTGGAATAAGCTAGCCAAGCCTCTCTTGAGATTTTCGATGCCCACGGGCTCATTTTCATAGGAGTAGAACTCTTTGACCTAAAGGGAAAGAGAAACAAAAATGAAGCGATGGTACATTGCTTATCAGATCTGGAGGGCCGGGTTCTCACCTCTACTGATGGTGTGAGATACTGTCAGCGCAAAGCTGTGATTTCTTTCTTGTGAAAAGAAGCAGGTTTTATTTCTAAGAAGCTAGGCCATCAGGAAATGGGACTTAGGAGCCGAAAATGATGGTTCAGAACATGATGGTCATTACCGAGTCGGGGATTTCTGTGGAAAACCAGGGCTGTGCAAGGAAGAAAAACTAGAGCGTTCCTTTCGTTCACATCACATACTTTTCTCTTATAATTCTGCTTGAAACACAAACTAATGAATGAAAGGTTCTTAGAAGAGAATGACAATCGCCACAAATGGCAGTTCAGATTCCTGAAATGGCTCTGACAGCGCCCAGGTTCGCCCATGAATAGAACCCAGATGACCCAAGTGATCCCTGAGCATCGCTGCTGCTCTGGGTAGAAGTGCAGAGGGTGGAGGACCGGCGGGCTTGTTTGGACGGCGCACCCTACCCATGACTACTGGTTATGGTTCTCATTAGAAGGTCGGCAAAGGCTGAAATGAGAAGAGTGATTTGGCAGGAGTAGGAAGTGACTTGGCTCTGTTTTACCCTTGACATTTATTGGCACTGTATCTTTTATCATTTTAATGAGTCAGCCCATCTTTAAGAAACAGTGCAAAAAAGTGAAGAGAAGTGTTTAGAGGACAGCTTATTGTTTTCACCTTGGACTGACTTCAAGCACATCACACGGTTTAGAAGCAGAGGGCAGACACGCCTTCCCTGTAAAAATTACTATGGTCTACACAAGCTGAGGCAGAGCATTTCTGCCCCCCAAATTCCCAACGCTTTCCTATTTCTCAAAAACCAACCAACCAAACATAGAATTTAAAGTTCAGTAATGCGATGAATTTAATTAATACTAATCTGAATAATTCAGCCTACCCAAAAATTTCTCATGTCTTAGGAGATAATATTGTGCCTGAATCAGCTTTCCAAGTACCTCAACTCTCTATTTTTACTTCCTAGACACACTCTGCCTAGTGACAGGTTTTCTGGCTACTGTATCTACGGTCAGTTTTAGTCACTCCACTGTCTAATCCTTCAGTGTTGGAATCGTGTTGTCTGTGCTGGTTAAAGGGACCTGTGACAGTGACCTCACTGTCTGAAAATCCAGGGATCATATTCTCAAACAAACCACTGGCAACTTCTCAGATCCAAGCTGGCTCTCTGATGCTCTATACTATAAACTGGATTTCCTTCCTTTAGCAGGAACAGTCATAGTCAGTAATCTGAAAAGCATAAACCCAGAGACAGAGCCAAAAAGGTTTGGCTTTTTCTATTGATATTTATTGTTTTCCTACAACTAGAAAAGTAGACAAGCCTTTTGTTTTGTCCTATGTATGGCTGTTATTTCAGAAGCTGAAACTGTTTATTTCTAGGACAGACCAATCTGATCCAAAGTAAAGATGACATCCTTATCCATATTCAAACATCAAATTACTGAACAATGATAATCTTCATAAACTGGAACTTTGAAGTTTGACCCATGTGACTGTCATAGAAGTAATCTTAAATTCACTATTTCACAAGAGGAACTGAGTATGTTTTATGGTGTTCGGGCGATAAAGCTGATGATAACTTCATTTAGTTCTGAAATGAATTCTAAATACCCAAGCGCTCAGGCCTCCGATCTGAATCCAGAGTCATCAGAGTCCAGAGAACAGTAAGCTAAGCTTTCCACATGGGGAACTCAAACTGAGAGTGAGACTAGGCGGACTGCCAGGAAGGAGAACCCAGCATCCTGTGGTGAAATCTGGGGCCATTTTCCCTTGGAACTGTATTTTCCCTTAGGAAGAAGATTCCCCCGTAATTCATGGACTCAGTAACAGAAGTTCAAATTTACATCCTTGCCTAAACAACAAAAATAAGTTGAACTGATTCCTGCAAACAGGGATTCACCATTTTGTCTTTGGTATTTAACTATAAGACAGAGCACAGTCAAGCAGTATGGGACAGAAGCAAATGAAGACATGGGTGATTTTGACAGGCACCACCCACGGCTCCTTTGCAGGGTCAGCGTGGGAGCAGGAGCTGAAAAGCCAGGTTTAGATAGCAGATTCACACCAGGAAACAATGCAAAATAAGAAGCAAACTTAATTTTATCAGTACAGACGACCAAAACCAACAGAACCTTTCATTTGTCAGTGTTAATGAATTTAACAGGTAACTGCCATGTTCCCAACTTAGCTTGTTGAATGCGGACAAATTCAGATGGTACCCAAGCACTTCCATATGGTCAATGAGTGATTGTGGGAAACAGAAAATGCACAATGAATATGCATCTGAGTATTCTGTTGGGTTCTTTCCTAATGTAAATATGGGAGCTGTAAATGGGGAGAAGAGAAAGGGGGCTCTGGAAAAACAAAAAGATTCTCTTGAAATCCCAGAAGTCTTGTGTAGATTTGGCCTAGGGCAGAAATGTCCTCCAAGAAAGCTGTCCATCAGCAGGTCCCCTGCCTGTGCAGCTGCTCTCCTTGTAATCTGAAATGACAATGACCTTTCTAACATCGATGTGGCCGGAAATTCCCTTTGACTTCTTAGTCTACAGGATCAAGCCTTTCCCAGGTACTTTATTGTACAATTGAGAGATATATAATGATGTACTTTAACCCATGGCTACAGCAAATCATCACCTCCCGTTGGGCTGGCACATTGGTGTCACTGAAATAGTGATGTGGCAGCTTCATGCAGCCTTTGAACAGTGAAGGCACTGAGTTCTTACGTGTGTGCACGGCAAGACTTTGCACTCAACTTCTGGCAAAGGCACTGTAAAATGATAGGCTGTGGTCAAGACCATAAATGCAATTAATATTTAATGGACTCAAGAAGCTTGCCACTTTGGAGGTCCAGAGAAGAAAATATCTGTGTTCTGTGTTAATAAAGTTGAGCCATATGCAAATCAAGTAAGTGAATACATACGGTGAAAAATAAAACAGAGAATTCTCCAAGTCAATCCAGGAGGATGATGAGTGGCACACAGAAGGGAGGGCACAGACTCTGCTTCAAGTGTCAGCTTCGTGACCTGTCAGTTCTGTGGCCTTTGGAAATTTTCTTAACTTCTCAGAACTCCAGCTCCTCATCTGCCACAGGAGTATAACACAGCGGCAACCTCCCAGGTCTGTGACTAGCGCAGGAGACCATGTCTGTGGTGTGGTCAGGCAGAGCTCAGCACGCCATAAGCACGGCGTTCCCTTTACTTATCACTAACTGAATCAGAAGCCGAGACTGGTTCACTTAGCCTCTCATCAACTTTCGTGTTCACCCTTTTACTCTACAAACACTCATTGAATTTTCACTATAATCAAGTTGCTGAATGCACTAAAAGAAAGATGTGATGCTGCCCATGAGAAACCCGCTGCTACTGTGGACAGAAGACAGAGAATTATAACGCACTCAAGGGGTGGTGGGCTTGGAGGAGGTTAGGAAAAGCTTTATGGACACACCAGTCAGGACAAGGTGGAGACACTTTGGGGAAGGGGAAGAAAGACATGGAGCCGAGAGTGGAGGGGATGGAATATTAACAGGATTGGGCGTTTTCTCTGCTGAAAGCTGTAACTTAGCAATGAATATGGATGGCTAAAAGAGAAGTGGGAAGGCCATGAGTGGGTTCCAAAGCACCAAGAGTGGGGTGAAGTCACATGGCTGTTTCCAGCTGACCAAGAGGGTGTGACTGCTATAAAAGAAAGCAGGACATGGGAACAAAGCTTGAATCAAGGGAAAGATTCTGCGAAGTGGAGAAAGAGAAAGGCATTCTGAGAGACTGGGGTTCAGAGTTTATGTGATGTAGCACATGCCTGCCTCTGAGCCCTTCTTGGAGTACTTCATAACAAATGTGCATCCTGCTTTGCAAAGAGGTTTCTGGCATTTTTGCTTTACAGTACTTCTCATCATTTTTTTGAGGTAGAAAGTTGAAGGTTGGAGACATGTAAAATGACAGCTGTAGCTCCCCTATCTCCCTATTGTTTTCTACCTCATGACTAAACTTGAGCTCACATCTTCCTTTGTGAATAAGATACCCAAACCTTCCTCAACTAGAATGTGGAATGCCTGATCATTTACTGTTCACAATTGCTTTCAGTTCCAACATAGTAGGACCATAAAATAGGTTAGATTTAAATCATAAGTAAAACTTCTGAAAGTTTACAGAATTTCCTTATTGGGCTTCTAGATGGATATTACAATATTCATTCATCATTTTGCTCTGTTTAGTGCTTTTCCAAGTCATATTTCTAAAGAAGGTCTAAATATTTTGAAAGCTGCTGTGTCTTCAACATGACACAGGAAGATGTCAGTTTTGTGTTTTGCCCAGACAGATACCCTCGCACATTAATATTACTTATCTAAACTTTTACCTTTCATTCTAATCTGCCTACTGCTTTCCTGAACTTACCTAACATGCTGTAATGATTTTCTGTGTTACAATAGCTCTGTAATCCTTCCTAGTTTAATAGCTAATAAGAGATGCACTTTAAAAACAGTGTTTCTCATCCAGAAGCCAATACTTCATTCTATTACAAAGACTTTAATGAGAGAGAGAGACACACACAGAGACAGAGACAGAGAGAAGCTGGGTAGGAAATAGAATTCAGAGCATGGTTTCATTTCCTTTGGAGACATTTGTTCAGCAGCCTTTGCCCCTCAGTTCTTGAAATGATTCCACTGAAAACAGGTGGTAACAATGAGTCCCTCAGAGCACGACCCACTGAAAGGGGGCCCGAGCAGGAAACAGGAAGAAAGCCAGAGGCTCACCTTCCCCCGGACCAGGTGAAGGAGCATGGGTCTCTGCAGCGCCTCCAGGTTGTCCTTTCCTAGGATCTTCGGTGCAGTTTTGCCTTTGAAGATGCTCTTCTCTCCTCTCTGTTGGTTCACATTTTCAACGTTGACAGTTGTCATCTAAGTCAAGAAAAGAACACAGTTAGGAAAACATTCCCACATCTGCCTCCTAAAAAGAAAATGGTAAAGGAGACCAACTGAGGTCGTCATCCTTTCCAACGTTGATTCGCAGGACTTGTCACTCACATTACTCATTACTCGACAAGTGCTCTGACTTTAAAACGGAAGGTATTTAACATTAGCTATTTTAACTAATCGAAGGTGAGAACACTTAACTCTGTGACCTTGAGTTATAATACATGTGCCTTGAATCTGGCTCTTTTGTCTCACTGGCACTTTTCTCACTGGTCTTAAACAGTGGCTGTCTACCTCCTCCTTTCCCTGTCTGTAGTGTGTCTGGAAACATTCCTGCCCATTCTGCCTCCTGTGTTTATACAGTGAAGGTCAGCAGCAGAATTACAGAACAAGGATGGATGCAGGCAATGTTTTCTGCAGGGAAGCTTGCTGTTCTAGTGATAATGACTCAGAGGAATGCATGGTGATGTCCTGATCCAACTTTGAAAATACAACAACCACTAGAAACACCCAAAGAAATGGCAGCGAGTTGTCAACGGGGCTGCAACACATCTTACGATAAAAAGCTATTTGTTCCACGTACTTGATCCAGTGTTCCTATCTGACAGTAACCTGCAGAAGAGCAACTAACTTTAAAAGGAATCCATTACCATTAGGTTCTTGGGAAGTAGGATTACAATATATCAACATTAGAAAAAGTCTCACAGATCTAAATCATCATGGCCCACCAAACACTGTCATTCTGTGGAATACTTGGTTCCTTCTATAAGAGGCCCTGCCCCTCATTAGTAATTCTACCCGTTAAATGAGGCCTCTCCTAGTGTATCTCCCTTTCAGTCTCCATGGTTCCTTACATGACATGCATTGCAAATCCCTTCCTCCAGGACATTTTGAATGGATTCCAATACAATGTCCCCATTCATATTAAGATGATATATAGAACTGGAGGTCAGACTTCAGTTACTCAGCAGCACGGAGCAGCCTGCTTCAACAATTTGGAGAAAAATCACTATTGATTAGCAACAACTTCAAAATTATGGATGCTTCAATTGTTTTTGTGAAAGATAACAAGCCAAGTATATCCAATAGCACAAAACAAGTGCTGCTGGATGATGTGTTTCTAACATCGAACCCTAGTGTAGTGCAGTGTTGCTTCATTTTGATAGAAAATGCCCACCGTGACTTGGATCAGTTGGTCATCATCACCATCAGGATTCCTCCACAGTAACACAACGTCCACATCAGATGAGATCCTGTAGCCCACGCTGTCCTGAAGTTTTCCTTTGCCCCCATCCAGAAACACTTCAGTGGAGTACGTGAGCTTGTACAGCCGTTCATTATTTAATGAGAGACCAGTTGTGTGACCTGCATTAAAGGACAGGCACAGGTCAAGTTCCAATCGTCAGGCACTTGTCAGGCCTGAGAACATACTGTCTTACCACCACTGCGTTCTCCAGTTCACTGAGGCTCAGTGGGGCTTAACTAGCACCTGCTGAACCAAAGAGGATGTGCTTTTCCAGCGACTAAAAGCATCGGCTTAAAAACCACACATAAGTAAGTTAACTGATGAACATACAAACAAGCTTCCATTTCAGAAAACCATTTTTTTTTAATCAACTATCAAGTCATCTTCACATTGCCCAGATTGAACATAAGACAGTTTTTAAAGCAACAGTCATGTTGCTTTCAATCACTTGACTGTAAGTTCAAGCAGAGGTCTTGACAGGAATTGCTTTACAAATTCAGTAAGCTCTTTTGTAATTATTTAAAATTTTATGTGTATGGGTGTTTTGCCTGCATTGTATGTACACCAAATGCATGCAGTACCTAAGGGATCCAGAAGAGGGCACTGGATTTCCTGGAACTGGAGCTAAGTACAGTTGTAAGTTTCCATGTGGATGCTGGGAACCAATCCCAGGTCCTCCGGAAGAGCAACAAGTGCTTTTAACCAAAGCACGGTTCCATCTTTACAGCACCATAATTAATGAATTTTTAATTCCAACTGAGTGTCAAAAAAATGTTAGTCATCAAAAAGGCCATTCTTTCATTTGGCATACTTGTTGCATTTAAAGAATTTTTTCCTTTGTAGTTTTCTCTCTAAGCTTAATTAGCAAACTTGTCCAAAGAACATTTCAGTGGTGGTTGTGGTGGTTCATACTTATAATCACAGCACTTTGAAGGCTGAGACAGGAAGATGCCCATGAGGCTGAGGATAGTCTGGGCAATATAATGATTCCAGGCAAGCCTGAACTACATAGTGAATTCCATGCCAACCTAAGCTACAATGTGAGACCATGTCTCAAAAAACCAAGTAAACAAATAAATAAATATCTATACCCAGGTATATTATTGTGTAATAATATTTTAAAGAAAAATGGAACACTAAAGAGTCACCTATAAGTAAGTTTAAATTAACTGTGCCTGAAAATAAAAGGACAACTAATTACATAAAATCTTAAGACCAGCTTAAATCTGGACAGGGGGATTTAATATTAAATAGCATTGAAGTCAGTATTGGGAGCCAAAAAAAAAAAAAAAAAAAAAACACACAAAGGAGAAGTTCACACAGTTTCCAACTCAGTTTAACTCATTCCCAGGACACACAAAGGGGAAGGATTGAATTTTTCCCAGACACAGAGTTTATGATCACAGAAGCTGGTTTTGATTGTTTTCCATGTGTCACTCCCTAGATGTAGTCAAGAAGGATTCAGTGTGTATGTTCTTACTTGGTGTCACGGGGGTTGATTTGCCAGTGAACTCTAGTAGGAAGTCATAACTTACTTTCCCCTAAGAAGTATGTACATAGCCAGGTGTACTGCTGCACACCTTCAATCCCAGCACTTGGGAAACAGAGCCAGGTAGATCTTTGTGAGTAGGAGGCTAGCCTGGGCCACATCAGCTTCTGTCCACCCACCCCTAGCAACAACTGCACAGGCTCCAGGAAAAAGAGACCAAGACATGTTGCCTCAAGATTATGTGTGCTGACATTCATAAAAATCTAATCATCTCAGTCTTTTTCTTTTGTTGTTTTCTGTCTTGTTTGAGACAGGGTCTCACTATGTAGCCCAGGCTGGCCTAGAACCCTTCTTTCTCTTGCCTTTTGCTCCAAGTGCTTGAATAACAATTTTGCACCACCACATCTGGCTCTGAGATAGGCATTGCTGTTCTTCATTAGATGAGAAAACTGAAGGGCACAGAGGTTACACCCTTTGCCCAGGATTACTCGGGCAATTAATAATGGTGACGTGATGGGAACTATAGCTATCTGGTCCTAAAGATCATGCTCTTACTTTTACTACAAACCTCTTAAAATTTTAGATTGATTTCTCTTTCATTCCTAGGAAAGGAGCCAGGAATTCATTCTTTCCTTTAACAATGATGCTCTGAGAAACTCTCAGGACATGGTCAATTTTCTAGGTCAACTGCTATGCCAATAAACAAGGAGACAAATTTTCTCCCCTTATGGAGCTAATACTTATGTGATGAGGAGCTAGAAAATAAGATAGAATGAGTGTATGAGCAAACACCATAGAAAGACAGACATGCTACTGGAGACAAGTCCAATAGGAAAGGCAATAGGTAGATCTCTGTGAGGCAAGGTCAGCTTGAGGCTGGCCACGTGTACATCTGTAGCAAGAGTCATACTCTGCTCCTCCCACTCCATTCTCACAAGGAGCAGCAAGGGCAAAGGCCCTGAACAGGGCTCATGTGGACACAAGAGCAGAAAGAAATGGAATTGACTACTTAAAGAACACAGCAGAGGAAGGTGAGGTTCAACAGGTGCCTCGGCTTCAGGGAGACTCGGGGTCAAGTCCATAGGGCCGAGGTGGAAAGCTGAAAGAGGTTTCTGACCTCATTCTAGGGCCATGATCTGACAAAGGTTCAAAGGGAGGACACAGGTTTCAGTAGGAATCCGGAAGAGGCAAGTGATTGATGAGTGAGAGATGGCACCACACAAAACAAAGTTCAAACCCCAAGTCAGCCAAGCCTGGGACAGGACATATAGAAGGAAGACGGAGTTCAAAGACCTTGAAGGAGACACAGTCTATAACTCTCTCAGCCTCTTCTTTTTCTACCTCTTCTGTATTCTAAATGGGTGCTCTGCAGCAGTTCAAACACTACTTTGTTGCCAGGAAGGATATTTTGTACCTACGTGTGCTTGTGCGTGTGCGTGTATGTGTGATCTATAAAATTCCATATAGGGCACATGCTGTCTTATCAAATCCTCACAGCAGTTGTGAAAGATGAGCAGTACATAAGAGCTGACAAAGACTGACTCTAAGTTCAATCCCACACACATGCCGACTCTGAAGTTTGGGTTTTAGGAAATCTGAGTTTATGGACTACGTGAAGAAGCCTTCTGATGAAAATCACTGTGGAAAATGTGTAGGAGGGACTATTTCTTAAAGTCCACAGCTTTCAAAACTATTATGCTGATGTTTTTTAGCTTTTATGTTACCAGTAACAAGGAGCATAGGACAGATCAGCTCTTGACTGCACCAGCCAATGATGGCCAGAGCGGGAAGGGCCCTGATCTTCATTGGCTTCTCCTACCACTTTCAACAGGCCTCAAGGGTCTGTCTGTCCTGTTCATCAGATGCTGAGTTTCAGATGGTCCAAATGGCTAGGTTGTGTTCCAGGGTTACTTTTTTAGCTACCGCTCTTTAGAGTGGACACGACAGCATTTTTGTTCCAAGGGTCGAGGCGCTGTAATAGCACCGCTCCTTGGCTGAAGCAAGGAGGCAAAGCAGAGGTGAGTTAGGGTGAGGCTCCAGGAGATGTGCTCTGGAGATACGGGAAGAAATCAAAGAGTTTGAGGATCTGACAGAAAAGTGTAAGGCAGAGGAGAGATGGATGTGATTAGTGCAAATCGATTAAAAATAAGGGTGGGGTCAGGGACTGAGAAGAATTAGCAATCAAGAAGCAAAAGCCCTACATCAAAAAAAAAAAAAAAAAAAAAAGCAAGTCAGCGCTGAGAACAGCTCCACTATTACCAGCTACAATCAGTAACAGCCAGGGAAAACCTGGGGCTTTGGAGTCCACATTCAATAAATTAGACTGCCCTCCACATTACCCTTCATCCTACGGTTAGCAAGAAGGTAGAGCCACTTCATGTCATTTGCTTGTTAAATATCAATCACTGTGAGGGCAAAGAATCTGCCATCAAATCACGGTCCTCTACTCCCAAAGGCTACTCCAGGTAGATGGAGAGAACCGAGTCCTGTATTGAGCCCTGTATTGGATGCTTGTGATATTTAGTATAAGAAAGTCTTTGAACTGAAAGGAAGGAACTCGGGGAGAGAAGCTGAAGCCCCGGGCCCCTGACTCGCCCAGGTCCTTGGAAGACTTTGGAAGAGGCCCTAGCAATCTGTGCACGTTCCTTATCTTTCCTCGGTAACCTTTGGAAGCATAAGATATTTCTGCGGTGTTTTCTCAAAGACAGCCTCTCAATTGCACAAGCTTTGGGTCCTGAAAACCTGGATTTGTCACTGAGTTTGTACACAACAAGCTGTCATGTTCTAAGCCACATTTTCCCCATGCGCAGGTGGCATGCCTGCATGCTGCTGGTGTGTGTGTGTGTGTGTGTGTGTGTGTGTGTGTGTGTGTGTGTGTTTGCTGTTTTTCATTTACAGAATGGGAATTAAAAAAGATGACACAGTAACTACTATATCTCCATTTTTTTCAAAATAATCATGATATTGGGTTTGTATACTGTTTACATCATATTAGACAAACAATAAAACACTACTTTCTAACAATTTCAAGTCAAATATGATTTAAAAGTTTTAGTTTTTCACCTAAGGAAGGGTTGTATTTTAAACACTAACATTTTTCGAACGTGCTGAAAATATTCCCTCTAGTTTAAGAATCTATTTGCCCAGGTGAAATAACTGAATTTTAACCCTCTATATCTTGCTGTAGTAACAGCTATTCCTTTTCCATGTAGAAATTTCACATTCACTTTATGGTCACAAGTCACAGTGATTACAAACAGATTTTAAAAGTTTGTGTGTGATCATATTATGTCACTCACTCCACTACACACCACTAGACATGACCCCTACCATAACAGGGTACCTTGAGATCAGGTGCTTTTAACAGTGTATCTTTATGAATTATAAAAAGTGACAGCTTTATACGGGACAACAATCCGAAGCCCAAAGAGCCTATAAGCTGGTGGATTCATAGAAGATTTCCTATCAATACATTTGAAACATGACATTGAAACGCTTCCTGTGAAATGCTCTCCTCTTGTTTTTTTCTGATGTTATCAATTCATATATATATATATATATATATATATATATATATATATATATATATGGCATTGTCTTTGGGAT